CCATCTGCAGGTGTTAGGGCTTCAAAATATGTATTTGGGGAGGAGGACACAAACACTCAGTCTATGGCAGTATGTGTGTGGACCTGGCTTCTTAATGGACTTACTTTATCATAATAAGTTGATACTATCCATCCCGTTAAATATGCAATATATTTCAATTCTGAAGCAGCCTCTTCTTATGGAGAATTAAACATCATGTATTACCTGCTTGTTAAACACCAGATATTAAATACCAAGTATTATCTGGATTGAATGAAGATAACAATTGGATCCACAGTAAAGGAAATGAGAAATTCCAATTCTAATAGAAATAATTGAATATATTTTGGTAGCTACCAAAACATTATGTACAGTAACTAAAGGACGACCATGAGGCATTTGACAAATTTAATCAAAGTGAAAAACAAAATAATGAAAATAGCTCTACTGGGATACAAAAAAAATCATTCTTTCTGGCTCTTCTATAATACTGTAAAGTTCAGTAACTATTTTTACTTTGCCTATATTTCTTGGTTTTTGTTATCTTTCCTTTTCTAGTCTTTTTTATTCTATTTCTTAGAAGTTTCTTGCACACTAGGGAATTTTTGTTTTACTTATTTTGTTTATCCTCTTCATCAAATCCAGTACTCATTAGTGCATATATTATGTTTTCAGTAAAACCCAGTAATGAATAATTTTCTTTTTAAACTAACTGCTCTTAAGAGTAGGACCCAGGACAAGAAATGTAGTAGATACTTGCAAAGCTTCCATACCATCCACACAGAGGAAGCCAGAACTAGAGCTGCAGAAAAATTTGTAACTAATTATTGTCCTCAAGTTAAAAAAAGGATGACAGTTCCCAGAGAAATACAAATGAAAGTGAACACTTAGGCTTAATACCTCATGCGTAGATACGGCTCAGAAATGTTGGTGTTTCCTTTGCTGGGTAGGGGAGCATGTGCATTGAGAAGCAAAAAACTGGGCCCCTTTCCTCCCTCCTTTTTTCCTTCCCTTCAGAAAAGTTTTACTAAGCTCTCGAGCCAGATACCAGGCATCCAGCGATGAACATACCATAGGCCCTGTCCTCAAGGATCTGACATCCTAGTGAATATAGATAATTGGGTAATTAGACTATAGTGTGACAACTGCTATAATGGAGGTAATCCGGGGGTACCCTGGAAATACAGAGGATAGCACTTAATGCAGACTCGCAGATCACAGAAAACTTCCTGTGAGGGAGGTGATATCTAAGTCGGCCCTGAACGACAAATGGTTGAAGGTGGGGCAGTGGTGGAAGTGAGCATTAATAGGTAGCTAGGCAAAGAAGCCCATTAGGCTTTAGATATAAAGGTTGAGATCTTTAAACATTGCTGTTGTGGTTTGCAGAGCCTTTTACCTGTAAGTGACTCAAAACAGCCCCCCTGTAAAGTAAAACTGCTGAAGTGCAGAGTTAACATCACTGTTCTCCAGACATGCATCCTTGACATGCAGCCCATCAGAAAGTATCAGTGATCTACACTGCCTTTCCTAGCATGTCTCTTCATAGCTCCACTTGGACAGTGTCTTGAATTATTTGCTTATTCTTCACATGTAAACACTGAGAGAGATTTTGTCAGTTGTGGGGTAGATGGTAAGACAGCCACTAAATGAATGCTGTGAAGCATGTCTCTTCATTATGTACCATTTAATATACAACAGGTAAGTATCCCATTTTGGAATATGACAGAATCCCATTTCATTCTTGCTATAATTCTCATGTAACATTATCATACTCCCCTACAAAAACAGGAGGAAACCATTACTTTATATGCATTTTAAAAAATCTGCTTAAAGAAGACAGCAGAACTTCAAAATTCTAAAACTTTTAGCTATGGTATGAGAGTACAGTGTTTATATTCTTCTGATAATAATTACAAGTTAAAATATATTCCTTATAGTTACTAATACTATCTTTGGTTAAAAAGAAAGTGATTATAATAGCATTCACCTTGCCTTTCAAAGAACAAGTGGACTACTGAATGGAATAGGTTTTTAAAATTTGCTAACAAGCAATTACAACTTTTTAAAATATATTCTGTTTTTTACACATTCAAAAAATTCTTTCCTCTTTATATGTAATGATTCTGCTGAAAATTGGCTACCATGCTTCCAGAAAAGAGCACAAAAGATTTCTGATTGAGCTTTGTTCACAATGAATGATGTGGGAGGTAACCTGGACCGAAAGATCCAAAGACGCGGACAAGCTGGAATATGAGTTTTGAAGTTAGGAGATTCTAATTCAAGTCTCAGTTCTTCCATTACTAACTCTCTTTCCTCTAGACAATAGGAACTGAATCATAATCATGGTCTACTAAAATGTTCTAAGGTCTGAGTTCTTTAAAGGACAGAAAACCTCACAAATATACAATGATCTAGTATAATTACTATTAGTGATACAAAAATGTTTCCTAGGAAAATGTGGACAATGACTTTTATGAAACTGTCCTAGGAAATTTATGAGGTGAGTTAGACACTGGGATGGAATAGTCTATAGGGAAAAGAGTAGAGTAATTGAAGCTGTAACTCAATGAAAAATCATAGGTAGTCCAATGATCCTATAAATTAATTTATTTACCAGATGATAGAGGGTCTCACTTGCAGTGACTTAATTTTTAATATCCTACCAGAAGCACTCTCTGCCCACCAAATGCATTGGATGTAATATAATACAGAGAGTAAAATGATCATTTCATGTAGTTCTTTGCTATATTCTTCATCATAACCAAAAGTATTTCCATTTGAAAATTACTAGTTTATTTTCTTTCAAGAAAAAAAAAGTGAGCTCCTATTAGAATTATGCTTGGGGTGCCTGGGTGGCTCTGTCAGTTAAGCGTCTGACTTCAGTTCAAGTCATGATCTCAAGGCTTGTGGGTTCGGGCCCCGCATCAGGCTCTGTGCTGACAGCTCGGAGTCTGGAGCCTGCTTTGAATTCTGTGTCTTCCTCTCTCTCTGCCCCTCCCCACTCACACTCTGTCTGTCTCTCTCAAAAATAAATAAACATTAAAAAATTTTATAAAAAAAGAATTATGCTTTGGGTTTTCTCAAAGATTTCGTAATGTTAATTGCTATATGGAACAAACAAAAATGCAAGTTAGTATGTCTATCAGCCCTACACAACATTAGTAAACCATTATGAAACCGTATTTTTACCTTAAAATTATGAAGACATTCTTTCCATTTTTTATAGCCCTTAAGAATGCAGAAGTATACATAAGACATTTTGATAGTTGAAAAAAGTAACTTAGAGAATAGTGCCGATCATTCCATCACAGTTGTAGAAAGACAACTGTGATTGGGTTCCTATTAAGTATGTGCATAACACACTTCTAGAAGGGGAAGACAAGGATGCCTATGAGGGTGCTTGCCTCTAGCAAAGGGAGTAAAGATATACACAGGGCAGAGAATGCTGACTTACACATTTTGCTTTGAATGTTACTGTTTTATTTGAATCTTTGAAATAAGTATCCATGTATTATTTGTGTTAAAAAAAATGAGCTGCAGTAGGAACCATTCAGGCCTACCCTACCCACATGATCAGTGCCTGCCTGACAGTGGCTGGACTTCTGCAGTGGCTACAAATGCTGTCTTCTAAATGCACATTAATCAAAAACACCTAGTAAGTGTTTTAAGAATAATAGTTTAATTCAGTTATGTTTGGAATGTATCACCCATGTTTCAGTAGACGATACAACAGGCATGCTTGAGTTCAAGTTGTTTGAAATGGCACGATGTGGTGTTTTGGGTGGTTACTCCTGATGGATTAAAGTGGTCAGGGCAGGCCTGATTTCTCTCACTGAACTGCTCCACTGCGCTAGAAATTATGCTCACCTGTTTATGCCTTCTTCTTCTTCTTCTTCTTTTTTAAACTGTTTGACTTGTCTTTGAAAAACCCAAACAGACGTGAACATTCACTTCAACTGTTTATTCGCTAAGTCACAGCCAGTGCTCCTTAAAAAGAAGGCTGATCCCCTACCCCCCAATTACCTTACGACACTAAGCCATGACAGAAGGCCCATCAGCAGATTTATTTACAAGCCTTGAGGAAAAATCCTCTTTCTGTCTCACTTCATACAGAAGATAAGTTTGCAAAAGGAAACACTTGGCAATACTTCAAATGCTCACTGTCTGGTGGTGTTGATAATGCAATTCTTTTTCTTGATTATGGCAGCTTCTATAATGCTGTATAATTCATGTAGACCATCAGGTCCCAAATGACTGCATTTATTGACTAAACAAACAATTCATACAATCACCTGAACTGTTTAACCTTTTCTCTTCCTACAAGTTTAGCATTTGGCTGTGGACTGATTTTATGCTGAATTCTATTGTTGAAAGGTGTCATGTTCCACTTGGCATGCCTACAAAATGTCTTTCATTCAGATAAACAGTCAGCTGACCTGAATGAAGAACATTAGTAATTGTAGGTAATTCACTAATCTTTATTGTATGTTTTAAAGGGAATGTCAAAGTATCATGCAGACAATTAATATGTAGCTTTAAAGTACTTTTTAAAAAATAGAGTCACATTCACATAATCCACGGTAGTTTTCCAATAAAAATTCTGTTTGTTAAGATCTAAAATATGTCCCAAATAAAAATGTATCTAGGTAGTTAAAGCATTTCCTTTCTTTCTAGTAGTAGGGAAAAATCAATGTGGCTTGGTATCTCTAAATTGTGTTCTTGAGCATGTGAATAGTATCCCAGAAATAATAAGGTTCTCAAGCCACCGAAGTCTGTCAAAACTGCTCAAAGCCACAGGTGAAAAGTCACTTGTGGGAATATCTGTAAAAGAAATATGCTGGCTATTGTTTGGACTAACCCCTACGGGAGAAGGAGTATTTTGCACAACATAGCTGGTCAGTGTAACCAATATATGGTCTAAAATTACACACTTTGGAAACAGGCTATATCTATTGCCTATTCACAACTGGAATGAAAGAGATTGAGGAGGACACAAATAAAATAAAAATGCATTTACTCACTGTGTTAAAATTTGGAAAGAGCCCCACAGCAGAACTACTGTCCACTGGAAAAGACAGTGGAAATGGTTTGATATCCAGTGAAGGCTGCATCATCAGGGTAGGTGTGCGCACAAGAGCAGGAAGTGTAGCAGTGTGGCATGTACTGCCTGCCAAGAACAAAACAAAAATGAATTCAATCTTCCTCCTATCCATCTACCCCCAACCAACCATGCAAAAAGAGGACTGCTGAGCTGCAACCCCAGAGCAAGAGAGTTATGCCGAAAGTAAGCAAATGGCACAGGAGGAGAGAATACAGTTAAAAGGGGTCTTCTTGTTCATTATGTGAGACAGTGATGCAGAATACTTCCCTACGGCAGGGGCCAAGGGCTGCTCAGAGATACAAACTACACAGATTCTGCTGGCAGGTGGGGCAGAATGAGATCATCCTGTGGGTTCAACCATTGTCGCTGAGTAGTCAAAAATGTAGGAGAGAGGAGGGGATGAGGTTCTTGCAGCAGATGCTCTTTACTAGTCAGTTATTGAACAGCTAGTAGGCATGCTTTATGCACATCAAAGATAATTATAGGGTTTTTACAAGGGGAACAAAAAACCTCGGACTCATAGTGACTGCTCCCAAGAAAATTATGACTCAAACAATTTTATCTCTAAAAAAACCAAAGTGAAGCTTGCCCTTGCTGTGAGGGCAATAAGTAGTCTAGACATTGGATAGTTAGGGAACCCAAAAGGAGTGATTACTGCCTGGGTGGGGCATGGTATTGGGGGACGGGGAGAAGTTGGGACAGGAACTCAAGTATTTGTCTCCAACTTTTATTTCTAACGAGCTTTGTGTTATTGTAGCCACTAACCCCCCCCCCCCTTTTTTTTAACAATTAAATTAGCTGTCATCTCTTTAGGAATCTGGGCTAAACCATGTGTGGGAGATTTAAAGCACTCTCCAGTAACAAGCATTCTTCTGAAGCCTCCACATACTGTAGGTGAGTAGCTGCTGATGCAGGTGGCTCTCTGAGACACAGGCTCAGGTGTGCCTTTTTCTTTTTAAATATAACTTTATTGAGATGTAATTCACATACTGGACAATTATCCCACTTAATGTATACAATTCAATGGTTTTTAGCATTTCTGCAGAGCGGTGCACATCACCACAATCAATTTTAGAACATTTTCACAATCCCTAGAAGAAACTCCATACCCATTAGCAGTCATTCCACACTTCCTCTCAACACGCCCAGCTCCTGGCAACCACTACTCCATTCTGTTTCTAGGTTTGTCTATTATGGACATTTCATTTAAATGAAGTCATACTGGGGCGCCTGGGTGGCACAGTCGGTTAAGCGTCCGACTTCAGCTAGGTCACGATCTCACGGTCCGGGAGTTCGAGCCCCGCGTCGGGCTCTGGGCTGATGGCTCAGAGCCTGGAGCCTGTTTCCGATTCTGTGTCTCCCTCTCTCTCTGCCCCTCCCCCATTCATGCTCTGTCTCTCTCTGTCCCAAAAATAAATAAACGTTGAAAAAAAAATTAAACAAAAAAATAAATGAAGTCATACAATATGAGTTCCTTTGTGACAAGCTTCATTCTTGGCATAATGTTTTCAAGGCACATCCATGTTGTAGCATGTATGAGATTTCATTCCTTTTTAAGGCTGTGAAAGATTCCATTGAAATAGACTCACTTTATCCTTATTCATTCATCAGTTGATGGGCATTTGGGTTGTTTCCACTTTTTGGATATTCTGAGTAATGCTGCTATGAACATTTGTCTGTAAGTTTTTGTGTGGAGATGCATTTTTAGTTCTCTTTGCTATATATGCAAGAGTAGAATTGGGGATTATTGGGTCATATGGTAATCATATGGTTTAATGTTTTGAGAACGTTCAGACTGTTTTCCAAAATGTCTGAGCCATTTTATAGTACCACAAGCAGTGTATGAGGGTTCCAATTTCTCCCAGTATGTCTATATAGGACCACAAATAATCATATGCCAAAAATCTCCTACTGACTTGAAGGAGAAATAAACAGTATGGGGAAATGCTCCAACTATTAAAACTTCTACCAACGTCCTCACACAGTGTTCCAGAATAATTAAAATTTCTATTTCAATGATATATTCTTGGATAATGGATTTTCTTAATAAACTCTGCATTATATTTCAAATCATTCCAGAACATTATTAGTAATAGTGTTTAATGGACTATCATGCCTCATGTACATTGATCCTAAAACCAGAAAAAAAGAAAAAGGCGTCTGAAGCATTTATCTGTAATGGCAAGTCTTCAGGTCAGCCTCATCCATTAGGGAATGTAGAGTAGGACTCAGCAAAAATAGAATCAACCAAAAGTATAGATCAAACAGTAATGTTGTTTTTCAGATGCCAAAGTAAATACTCTGATCTCAGCCTGGCATTCACATGACCACCCTGTATTTAATTACACTTTTTCTTCTAATTAGGTGACGTTACAGTCACTGCTAACTTCAGAGCTCATAGATCCAAGATGATATATTATGTCAGTATTTCAAATGCTGCAGAAGCACTTATTAAAATATTTATTTTAAAAGCTTTGCTTTAAAACTGTAGCTAAATTGAAAAAAAAAAGAGATATTTCTTATTTTAGAACGATGGCCTTTTACAACTCACAATTATTATAATTGTCAAAAGCCTAAAGTCTAGAAAGTATGCAGAACTATTCTACTTCAAGCTGCCTGATGAACGGATGAATTATTTTGCCATCATGGGTCTCCCCCACTCACCAAAAAGCAAAGTTTTTTCCTTAAGCCCATAATGGTAACACTCTGATAACACCAGCAGCACACGGTATCAGAGGGCCTGGCAAAAGTCATTTTGTACTAACAAACTCAACTCAAATGTAACGCAACACAGAACCTGACAAACAGATTGCTCCATCAACAAAGGTCAGAATGCGCAATGATCCCCCTTTACCCAATCAAATATCTATGCTAATAAAGACAAGGCTTGAGATCTACTTCGCAGCCACCATTCATTAGCATAAAAACTTAGCAGCTGTTTACCATTCATTAGCATTTTAATGACAGACAATTTGCCATGTTAAACACAGATTGTTTTAAAGCACTGGTAGATCTCCTGAATAAATACAAACTGCTTTCATCAATTCCCTTCACCTCAACCTTGCTGTTTTCACTTTTAAGACCTGCTTTTTCAGATTGCTTCACCAAGACCCACGGCTTCAGAGGAAGTTTTTGAAAGTGGGAGATGAATGGGGATAAAGTGCACTTTTTTGCACAGGCTGGGTTAGGTTTTAATCCCTCTGTCACCTTATTCCTGATTTTACTACTGTTCTGAGGCTGGGAAGCATTTCTCCTCACCCTAGGATGCCCAAAAGTTAGTGGGAGATACAAGCAGAAATGTGGCCAAAATACGTTGCATCCTGCAAGAAAATGCTTAATTTCTCTTCAATTTGCTGAGAAAAAAAAAAAAAAAAGAGGGTTGGAAATACAATGAATGAGCATGGATTTCAGCATAAAAATCCTTTACATTGCTCCGCCCAGGGGACAGGACCAACCTTTGTCTTTTGTATGATTTGGCAATATTATGTAAGATACCTCCTATATGTAGCTTTATTTCAAAGCCTAGGATATAATCTGGTATATATCATAATGAATTAAGTCATAATAGGGCTCTACCTTGTTTGACAATAAAGATTTTATATCACTTGCTGTATATATATTGATCAGACTCCCTGACCTAAAATGAAATACACACACACACACCAGCATGTATACCCCAAAGATGTAACAGTCACCACTCTCACCATGGAAATTCCACATGTTCATATACTCCCCCTATGAATGCAATTAAGCCTCTCCCCCCAATTTCATTTTCACTGTAAATTCCAAGTTGTTTTCATCTATAACTATGAAACCAATCATATGAGAAAGACAACTCACCACTATGATCATAAAACTATTATTACAGCCAACTGCCTCTGTAACATAATAGGTGCTTTATTATGTCAACGGATTATATCGTAATTCATCACAATAACACCTCATTTGAGAGTTAGGCAACACTTGACATTATTGCTGTGATCTTTCATGTTTAGAAATATTACCTTGAAGGTTTAGGTGATAGCTGTAAGGCTTTCTCGTGGTTCTTCCCTATGTACCATAACACGAGCAAACGAAACACCTCAGCGTTAGAAGGAGAAAACTCCAAAGTCACAGAAAAACTGTGTGAAGAAGCATTTACAGAATGACATCAAACCTATATTCTATATCCTGCAGAAGTAGTTTCTTCTTATGCCATTATTATGTATGTCTGCTTTATTGAGTACTAAAATAAAAAGCTTAGCATATTATAAAAGTCTATTAGGTAGAGGCAATGCCAATTATAGAACTCCCAAAGATATCTTTTTTCCCCCCAAAGACGTCTTTAAAGAAATTAAAATGAGTGGCGTTTCAAGTTCTACCAAACTCAATTTTCTCTTTTTATTGCTTTCTCAGCTTCAGTGAGTAACCTTCCCTCTTACCAGAACAATCACCAACCAGCATCTCCTGTGGTCTCTCTTTCACCATTTCCTTTCTTTCATCAGTCTGTCATGTGAGGAAAACCAAGGTATCAGGAGATCTACTGTAGTCATAAGGAGGTGGCTATGTGAATAGGCTATGTGACTGAAAAGGGTTTGTTTCTGAAAAGGCCACATAAAAACTGAGAGATAACATTTTTATAGTGCATACTGTGTGCCAGGCACCATTCTAAGCACATTACATATGTATGTACATACGTAGACACACATAAGAATATATATACACATCTGTATGTGTATATCCATATATACTCATTTAGGTATATTAAATTATATGTTTATATCATTTACATCTTTATACATTATTATATACTGATTTCTGTATATATTAAGAGTATATGTTGATCTCACGGTTCGTGGGATTGAGCCCTGCGTTGGGCTCTGACCTGACATTTCAGAGTCTGTTTGGGAATCTCTCTTGCCCTCTCTCTCTCTGCTCCTCCCATGCTCTTGCACGGGTGTGCTCTCTCGAAATAAATGACTTAAAAAAAAGAGTATATGTGTAAATTATACATATGTGTTCACAATAACCTAATAAACAAGGTATTATTACTAGCCCCATTTTACAGATGAGAAACTGAGTCACAA